CTCTAGAATGATGTACAAATGAGCGTTCTTGCTCATTTTGCCTCCGAGAAATGAGCAAAAACGGGACGGAAAACATGGAATTTTGGCATAATTTTACGCCACCCTTGCACAAAACGACGATAATTTTTCTAATTTCATAGACAACAGAAGACTGTATTTTTTCCTACATAACCCCCCCCCCCTGAATTTAAAGCTGGATCCGCCCCTGCAATTTACAACAAATCACCTATCGAAGATTCGTCGCTGTAAACAAGCAAAAAAGGGCTCAATTACTGATCCAGCACCGCCGTTCTGATGTCAAAGCTGCGGTCTCGCAAGTACCTCTCCACATATCTGAGTCCATGGCTGCCCTGGTCGCTGTAGCTCTCCAGACAGGGCTTGTTGAGCAGCTCTTTTCTGAACTCTCTGATCGAGTAGATCCATACGCGATCGCTCTTTGGTTCACGCCCATCGTCCCGCTCCACCTCGAACTCTTCGCGTCGGTAGAAACTCGGATGGTCTTCCAGAATATCCAGATTCTTCAGCACCGCGTCGTCCACTTCGTAAACTTCGCCTTGGACCCGATGGCCTTTGCCTGGAAAATCGAAAATTGTCGCTCTGGCACATGGAATTTGACTCGGCTTTGCGTCACTGTACCAGGGGCATAGAGCAAAAAAGGCACATTATAGTCGGTGGCAATGATAAGAGGGAATTTCTCCTTAGTGTGGCCTCTATAGAGGAACTGATGGTGTCCCTCTGGCGACTTGGCGAACCAATGGTGGTTCGGCTCGCCCCTCTTCAACGTCCCGTAGACAAACACTTTGTGAAGCACCCTCGCTGTCATTCTTGTCGGTCCTACAAATATTGCAAATTTAATTGAGCAACAATTTGCCCAAATAAGGCCACTAACAAAACTTGCTGGTCAGGGATTGTCTGCAAGGTAAGTGTGTTTTCCGCTTCGAACTCGATTGGCTCATCAACTAATCAATTACCTTCCCCTAGGCACAATCAAACTCAACTAGACACATTGGTGAGTCGAATATTGTCCAGCAGCGGTAGGCTGGGGCAGGTCCGGCCCTGTGCCGTCACGCACCCCAAGAGTTTGTTGACATGGGAACGCAACAGCTGATTAAAATGCGGGGCCACGGCCCACTCGATGCAATTTCAGACACTCCCACATCCTTCGCGTAAACAAGCATTATTTGAGGCAATTTGCGTCCGCTACTCACCAAATGGTCGCGAATTGATCGATTGCTGGACTGCACAGCGAGCAACAGGTTTGCGGGTATAAACAGGCAAGTGAAATGTTCAATTGTTAGCAGTTTTGTTTGTTTATTCTAGCTGGTTGTCATTGACAGCCAGCTTGACACCAGGGGCGTTGTGGTTGCTTAAGAATTTGCTATTAGTTTGCTTCTGGACGAGGCCTGGTTGCTATGCGAGGCACATTTAAAATTCTCTATCCATTTAATCCATGAGTGTTTTGGCAAAAACAAATACACCCGGCAACGCTGCTTGCGCTAATTGAAAGCAGGTCTACAGGGACGGACTAGGTCTAAAGCGCGTGTCCCATGCATCCGTTTGTCGTGTTTAATGATTAGTGGATTTATTTGCAGCCGTCACGCACTGTGGGCTTCAATGGGCTCAAAATGGGATTTTTAATCGTCACTGCCAGGTGAGTCCCCATTGGCCCCACTAAATCACGTGCAATTGTCCATTGATGCGCAGAAGTCTAATATGGATGCTGCTCAGTCTGCTCTGCGCCCTGATGATGCTCAGCGCCCTTCTGAGCCCAGTCTGGATCACCGCAGCCACTCAGAACGCCATGGTTGACAACGAGACGGTGACGTACACGCCCAGCTTGGGCGTGTATGCGAGATGCGGCAGGCCAATCGGGCGCAACCACCCCATCTGCACCCTGATGTCCGCCAAGGGGCTGGGCGCCGACTCTGAAGTGTATCCAACTGTCTGGAAAGCCGCCACGGTTTTTCTCATTATGGGTATTACAGTGTTTGGGCCAGTTTTTCCTGAACTTGCGAGGTTTTTCCGAATTTCAGGACTGTTTGTAATGGGGATGACAGTCTGCACCGGTCTGTTGAGCTGCTGCGTGCAGAGCGTGTTCAAAAAGAGCATTTTCACATTGTCAGGGGCTGCTCAGTGCGTTGCAGGTAAAGCGCGCCGTAGTCTAACAGCTCAGACTTGAGGCTTTCTGTCGTGTTTCAGGTATTTGCTTCATTTTGGGCGTGATGCTCCATCCAATGGCGTGGGGCGTGGAACGGGCGCACAAACTATGCGGCAAAGAGTCTTCGCCATTCTATTTGGGTGAAACAGCGTTTAATTGTCAGTTTGCTTCACACTGGTTGACACTTCGATTTTAGGCGATTGCTCAATCGGTACCGGCCTGTTTGTGGCAGTTGGAACGACAATTTTGACGTTTGTCTGTGCCTGTCTGTCAGTCCCGGCGGAAACGTCCACCAGCAGCGACAAGGTTCAAGACAAAATATACGAGGGGCAGACGTTGATCTGTCTTGCATAGGTTTTTAAGGTAAATATTTCCTGTTAATATATGGGGTGATTCGAAATGGGCGTCACTCCATCCAGATGTCACCCGAGTGTTCAATGGACTCTCTTCATTGTTTTGGAGAAAATTTCTTTTTTTTACAAACAAATAGTGCTCCTATTTCGCAATAAGAACGAATTATTT